TTATTATTACTATTATTATTACTATTATTATTACTATTATTATTATTATTATTACTATTATTATTACTATTATTACTATTATTATTACTTATTATTCTTATTTTAATTATTATTACTAGTTAGATTGATCATAATAATGTTTAGGAACGAAACAGTTTGAAGGTAGAATAAATTAAAATATCAAAATCGATTTTTAAAATTTGAAACTTTTTAGTTCTTAATTTTAGAAATAATCTAGTTTTTGGGTAAGTGATCAGATTGAGGGGTTTTATGGGAATTTAAATATGAAGTATGAATAAATATTATCCATATAATCTTGATTCACCATTTAATGACGAGAGTTTTATATTTAACAAAAATGTCCACCATTTCCTATTTAAATGATAATAAAGCTGAATATAAAACTTTAAATCGTTTTTTTTTTCATTTTACAATTTACATATTTATTGAATATACATGTCGGTGAATGTTCTCATTTCGTGTTGCCATTAAATGATATTGCAATTTCATTTCATCTGTACATGATGAATGTTTGTAGAAATTACATGAAATATTATTATGTACAGGCCCGTGTATCAGATCTAGAGGATGAGCTTGAAATGTACAGACCCGGCACACGGTAGGGATTATGTACAGAAAAAAACGCCTTACAGTGTACGGTAGGGATTATGTACAGTAAAAACACCTTACAGTGTACAGTAGGGATTACGCACAGTATAAACACCTTACAGTGTACGGTAGGGATCGTACAGTATAAACACCTTACAGTGAACGGTAGGGATTACGTACAGTATAAACACCTTTCAGTGTACGGTAGGGATTACGTACAGTATAAACACCGTGCAGTGTACGGTAGGGATTATGTACAGTATAAACACCGTGCAGTGTTCGGTAGGGATTACGTACAGTATAAACACCGTGCAGTGTACGGTAGGGATTACGTACAGTATAAATACCTTGCAGTGTACGGTAGGAATTATGTTCAGTATAAACACCTTACAGTGTACGGTAGATATTACGTACAGTATAAACACTGTACAGTGTAATGTAGGAATTAGGTACAATGTAATGTAGGAATTAGGTACAGTGTAATGTAGGAATTAGGTACAGTGTAATGTAGGAATCATTTACAGTATAAACACTGTACAGTGTAAAGTAGGAATTATGCACAGTATAAACACTGTACAGTGTAATGTAGGAATTATGTACAGTATAAACACTGTACAGTGTTATGTAGGATTTATGTACAGTATAAACACTGTACAGTGTAAAGTAGGAATTATGTACAGTTTAAACATTGTACAGTGTAAAGTAGGAATTATGTACAGTATAAACACTGTACAGTGTAATGTAGGAATTATGTACAGTATAAACACCGTATTCTAAACGGAAGTTTACAAAGAACTGATTTCAATATAAAATCAGTTTTTAAACTGTTTTCAATTAAAAAACCAAACTAAGGTTTTTAAAAACTTTATTTAACACATTTTCCTCTTTTGCTTTTACTTTTTTATAATCGCTTGTTTATTCGGTTTTGCATGTTGATCAAAGAGAAAAGAATAAATATTAGAGGGGAATTAATTAGGAATTCCCCTCTAATATATATTCTATTCTCTTTGATGTTGATACATGGCAATTTATTAATCTTTTTTTAAAATATAAATTTTTTCATTAATTGGATACATGATTTGGATTAGGCAAGATATATACAATTATAATTTCTTTTATTTTACATATCTTGTCTACCCGAGCTTAACATAAATATTCAGGCAGTGACCTCTAAATAAAGTGAGGAGCACTGTATCCAGTTTATTCTGCAGACCACTGTATGTGCACTTATTTTATTTTATTTAAGTTGTGTGCTGCTTAACTCGAGAGCTTCTTTGTCCTGCAAGGATGCGGGTAATTCATGAAAACATTTCAATCTGCGCAATTTAAAACATTTTCATCTGTGCCATTTTAAACATTTCCATCCGCGCCATTTTTAAACAGTTCAATCTGCTCCATTTTGAAGATTTTGTTCCACACATTTTTAAACAGTTTAATCCGCGCCATTTTTAAACAGTTTAATCCGCGCCATTTTTAACACAGTTCAATCCGCGCCAGTTTTAAATAGTTCAATCCGCGCCATTTTTAAACAGTTTAATCCGCGCCATTCTAAACAGTTCAATCCGCGCCATTTTTAAACAGTTCAATCCGCGCCATTTTTAAACAGTTTAATCCGAGCCATTTTTTAACAGTTTAATCCGCGCCATTTTTTTAACCTAAAATATTACCTATTTCTAGAAAATAAAATTAGAGTAAAATTGTTTGCAACAAGGAAATGGATCCTGTTTTTTTAATTTCAAAATTCTTTTTTTAAATTCTACATAAAATCATTTATATCGGATCAAGGAAGGGAGGAAGTTCTAGGAAAAAAATTAAACGCAACATGGTGGATAGGATGTGGTTGTGAATTCCATTCTGGTCAGGAGCATGCGCAATATTTTCCAAATGCCGCGTTCTCAAACCAACGAGACATGTAAGATTTTATTTTGCTACATTGCTTTTGCACCATTTAACACCACCTGCACTATAAGCATAATTTCAAGTGACCCATCCTGTAAAGATGACAATGCCTAATTATACCCTCATTGTCTGATCAAGTTTGAATTAAACATGCATTCATGTGTGGTTTCTCAGCAAAAGCGTCTTGCGCATTTTTTGCTTTTAAGAAACAATGGAGAGATTATAAGAATTAAATCTTCTAAAGGTGTCAAGGGGACTGCAGTAAACTTGGCATTGCTATCTTTGCATTTATTGTCATTTGAAATTACGTTTACAGTCCCTTAAAATACAGTGGTGGGCGTTTCAAGCAATAGAATGATGACGACTTTATATTTTATTTAAGCAAGCTTTTATACAACAGAGTCACATTAGAATGTAAATTGACAGAATACAACGCTTAAATAAAAAGTCATCAACATTATATTGTATAAACGCTGAACACTGTATGCATTATTCTAATTTTATAAACTAATTTAATAATTTACAATTTTGCACGCTTCTAAGTGAAAGAACACATAAATAAATTTGTAAGATTTTTTTTTATTTAAAGTTGTTAAGTTGATTTGATAATTTCTCTTGTTTTAGTGATTCTGATATAGATTCGGACGGATCCGATCTTCCTGTCCAGGTAAAGTCGTCGTCGTATTTATCAATACAAGGAAGACGACTTTCTATTTCAAATTAGAAATCTTGTACCAATCTTTCAAACAACAGAGGCACTTGACAGCTTCTGAGTATACTACCAAAATCTTTAAAAGAAATGGCTTTGTCACTTGTACAGTGTTATGAGGGAGGGAACCTCCGGACGCCATGAGCCTCCGCTATGCAGACTCGAGCCTCCCAGATCAAAAGGTGCCTGTGCAGGAGGTTTTTTTAAACTTGTATTTTAAGTTTAAATAAAAGATTTTTTTACAAATTTTTTGACATTGTGGCATCAGAGATTTGTCAAAGATGAGAAGTATTTTTCAATTATCATAAATAGTGCCTAATTATGACTAATAAAGTGGTACATAAAACTTTAAACATTTTTTACATGAAAAGGAAAATATTTAGAGAAAAAATTTGAATTGAAATTCATAATCTTTGATTTAAGCGATACATTTTTTGTATTTCAAATTTAATCAAGAAAATTTGTAAAAATTATTTAAATCTTAACACTTTTCAAAAAAAGTTTGTTTAAATCAAAGATTTCAACAAAACAAACCAAGTTTACTCCAGAAATATTTCTCCAAATATCTTCCTTTCTGCGTAAGAAATGTTTAAAGTTTTAGTATAAATCTTATAACCCACTTTATGAGTCCATATATGTTTCTAATCATGACAATCAATAAATAATTCTAATCTTTAGTAAAATTCTTATGCCACTACGTCAAAAAAATTGATAACATTTGTCCTTAAAAACCAAGATTTAAAAAAAAGCTCTGTTTTATGGTGGAGGCTTGTTTATTGTATATCGTTGGCATCGTCTTCATAGGCTTGCTCTGTATGGTGGAGGCTCAGTCTGCCTAGCAACTCTGGGAGGCTCGTGTCTGCATAGCGGAGGCTCATGGCGTCCGGGGGTTCCCTCCCTCGTGTTATACACTACATTATAGTTCACAGAGTCAACTCCTAGACCTTAGATATTTCAAACTATGAATCCTGTTAGATCAAATAATTTAAATATTAGAAATTTTCAGTTTGTTCCACTTCAATAGTTTTGAAGAAGAAAAAATTATTTTTTAGGGACCTTTACCATTTGAGCCGGAAGACGCCCCTTGGAAGAAAGGAGAAACTTCCGGAATCCGAAAATTGTAAGTACTCTTCCGAATTGAAATTTACTTTTCCGAATTGTACTGTACTCTTCCGAATTGTAATGTACTCTTCCGAATTGTAATGTACTCTTCCAAATTGTAGTGTACTCTTCCATATTGTAAGTACTCTTCCGAATCGAAATGTACTCTTCCGAATTAAAATGTACTCTTCCGAATTTAAATGTACTCTTCCGATTTGAAATGTACTCTTCCAAATTGCAATGTACTCTTCTGAATTGTAATGTACTCTTCCGAATTAAAATGTACTCTTCCGAATTAAAATGTACTCTTCCGAATTAAAATGTACTCTTCCGAATTAAAATGTACTCTTCCGAATTTAAATGTACTCTTCCGAATTTAAATGTACTCTTCCGAATCGAAATTTACTCCGAATTGTAATATACTACTCCGTCCTGTAGTGTGCTTTATAAAATTATAATGTACTATTTCAAATTGTCATACATTGCTCAGAATCATAAAATTTGTAACTTTTCTAGATCTTAATATACGTAAAGCAAAATCAACTAAAAAAACCTAATTTTTAAGAAAACTATAAAAAAGTCATCTGTAAACTAATGTTGTGCATACATACGTACAAAAGTTGTGAAAAATTAAACTTTTATCATTAAAACTAAATGGATAATTACTATTTCATCCCAACAAATGTTTTATTACTGTGCTAAGATAAAATTTGAGAAAATCTGCGAATAAATTTAAAAACAAAACCTTAAATTTCTTCATAATAACTCGACTCTATTTGATTACAAATTATTTATTAAAATTTTCTTAAATCCTAATATACGACATTCGTTTACAGCAGAACATTTTGATTTATCAATTGGTGTTGTTCATTTTTCTCTAAACTATAACAACCCATTTGAAATGTTTTATTGAATTGTTATATTGTACTCACCGCTTTCTCTTTCACTATGCTTTCTAACACTAATAACCTTTTTCTTTTTCCAGCTTTCATCTTCTCTTCTTCAAGAATCTTTCTCTTTTTTGTGTTTGTCAATAAAATTTCTAAACTGCAATTAATTTCATCAGAATATGATTTAACAGTGATTGCCCTGGTCTGGCTCTCCCGTCCTGCCCCCCCCCCCCCAGCATTGTTTACAAAATTTGTCATATTTATACAAAACTGGTTCCGAAATTTTCCCGGTTTTTGTGCTTATATTTTGTCAAGTAACTGGCTATAGTGTCCCAAAATCCATTAAATGTGTGTATAGGGATGGTTATGTAACTGGTCACTGGTCAGACTCAGGTGTCCGTAAATCAATAACATTTTTAATTATGTTTTTATGCTTCTAGGGAAAGGTAGTTTAGGTGTCCCAAAATCTATGAAGTATATGTTTACTTATGAAATTATAAGGGTTACAAATGTTTCCCAAAATCCCTCAAATTTGTATTTAGGTATGCTTATGTCACTGAAAGGGTAGTTGAGGTGTCCCAAAATCCATAAAATTTAAATGTGGGGTTTTTATGCTTCTGGAAGGTAGTTTGGGTATCCCAAAATCTAAGATGTTTAGATTAGGAGTTACAAATGTGTCCCAAAATCCCTAAAACTTGTATTTAGGTTTGCCTATGTAACTGGGCGGGTAGTTAAGGTGTCCCAAAATCTGGCGAATGCGGGCCAGGAACTTGGCATACAGCCAATATAATTGGTAACAATTTATCCCAATGATAGATAAACATGTGAGGCTAAAATTTTTGATTGGGTTAACGCTCAGAAACAGCGGCCGAACTTAATATTTTTAGCATTAACTTTTGAATTTTAAGATTTAAGTTTATTATGATGTAAATCAAATCAATTTAAACTTCTGACGACAAAGGTTGCAAGGGGAAACCGACTTAGCACAGTTAGATTTAAAAGTTTTGACCTCTAGTTTCAAAGAAAATATTGTCTTTTGGTAATATTTTTGGTTGAAAATAAATGTTATGCATTTAATATTATGGAACAATTTTCAGAATCCGTAAAAACTGTCAAATCCATCAGTTTGAAAAAAAAAAACATTATTTAGGATGACATTTTCTTAATGAGATCGTTCATTCAAATTAAAAGAGGGGTTTAAGATATATATAATTGGGATTTACTGTTTTCCTGTGCACGCTCCCTTTACAAACATCCAACTGATGGAGATTTTGCATGTTTTACAATATTAATTTACCGTAACTCTAGCTTATAAACCCTTTATATATTTATCAAGGAACCATATTTAATGATACAATTAATTAAATTATTAAATTAAACGGGTGTAAAACTATTATTAGAAAATAAACCCTCCAAAAAAGATTTATCTTTTCAATACTTACATAACCTCAACTTAAGTGTTAATATTTATTCAAAACTAGATAAAACCCAATCCATCTGTTTAAAAGTTCCTGTCTCAATCAACTTCCCTGATTTTGTTTTTGATTAAAAAAGTTTAAGATTGAAAGATTTAAGATTCTGCAGTGTTCGGGGAATTTTATGGACATTTTTTGTTCTTTGAGGGAGAACAATACTGGAAGTTTTACTATTTGCGAGTTTAACATCGATTAAAGGAACTGTACGCGTAATTTCAAGTGGACCCATCATGCAAAGATGGCAGTGCCGGATTTACCCTTATAACCTTAATCTGATTAAAAATGTGCTAGATAATGTCGTTTTTCAGACCTAAAGAATGTTAAATTCTGATAATCTCACTATTTCTTCTTATAAGCAATAAATGCGCAAGAGAAACCGAACATGAAAATAAACAGTTTAGAGAAACAAAAACAGGATGTCTAATTAGTTCTTAACGAGAGAAAGTTTTTAAGGGTACTGTTGAAAATTAGGCATTGCATGGAGGGTCACTTGACTTAACGATTAAAGTCACTTTAAAAGACTTAGTGTTTTTTATATATTTACATTTGTGTAAAGAAAAAGTTTTTATCTTTATTTATTTCTTAGACATTTCTTTGCATGAAGCTAGCTTTCTTTGCATCCAGCTAGCTTACTTTGCATGAAGCTTTCTTTCCATGATACAGGGAGAGGTTTCCAAAATAAAAATGTGTTTGCTAGTTTCTATATTTTAGAATCTATAGAAGACAGTTTTATAAAGTCAAACTCTCTTTAGAAAAAATATTTTTGAAATGAAGAATAACTTTCTCAATGCATAATTAAACTTCTACCTTTAAATTTATACTCTTTAGTGTGTATTATACCTAAAAGCCTAGTAATTTAAATTTGAATGGAAGGTCACGTAAAATTTCACTTACAGTCCTTTTAACATCTCATTAATTTCAAATCCCTCTAACAACACTATAAGAATTGGATTTTGATTCTACATGTAAAAATCAATGCGTGGTTTCGTTCACAAATTAAAATTGGATTTTTTTTAACTAATTTTTTTTTGACAAATTGTTTGTTTCGTGACTAGTGCGTATTTTTGATGTTTATAAATTTTTTTTATATTATTTGCATGTTAAATTTTCTAAAGTCTCTGTTTTTACAGACCCAGAACTTTGGAGTCAAGAATTTATAAAATGCCGTTTTTTTGAACCTATACTGATTTTTGAACCTATACTGATTAAGGAATGCTTTAGACTTTAGATTTTAAATCAAATAATTATATTGGAGCTCTTTAAAACTTTTTCCACATTTTAATGGCTGGTTGTTTTATTACTGAGGTTTTAGGTATAATAGTATAAAACCCATTAAAAACTTGTCAAGACGACATTTTATAAATTCTTTCGATAACTCTCAAAGTTTTGTAACCATGGTTATTTACTAGGTTAGTTCATCTATATTTAATTTTTAGTTTTCGCCGAGTATTTGGTCAGGGGGGGAGGGGGTTGTTACTAGTTTGGATTTTTTTTTAAATGACAAATATAACTTCCAAGATCTCAAAACTGTAATATGTTGAAGTTAAGCTTTGCAATATATCTATTCTTAAAAAAAGAAACAATTGGAAAACGAATCGTTACAACATCTTCGTTTTGGGTCGTTTTGGGTCTTCTTGTTGCAAACATCTTCTGCCAGGGTCTAAATTTGAAGAAAAGCAAAGCAAGCAATAAACAAAATTTTTAAAACATTTTCTGTTCATACATTTTGACCTTGAAACAAACTATAGGCAAAAAACTACCCAAAAAAGAAGCAACCGATGGCACTGGGGGGGTTGATGCTCTGAGAGGAAAATTGATCCTTTAAACGGCAAATTTGTTCATCCTTGTTGTTACATTTTACCCTATAATTATTTTGTTTCGCCAAATAAGAAGAATTAAATGAATATTTTCAAGTAAATATCTCTGATATATAATGATAGTTGAGGGCAATATATATTTCCCAATTAAGCGAACAAAACCTTTAAAAAATATCTAGGGGATAAAAAGACTTACACACAAGGGGGGGGAAACAACGCTCCTGAACCGTTTCACTTTTCCAACTTTTTTTTTTTTTTTTTGCTGCATTATCTCAATTGGTCGCAATTTAGCAGGAAAGCAATTTTAAAATTGGTAAATTTTCTTAGATTTTTGCGAACCTTTTAAAACCTTTTAAAAGTTTTTAAAAAAGTCCATTCCAAGTTATTCCCCATCTTTCAGTTGTCTCTCAGCTGTCTTGTTTTAAATGACACCCTCTAAAATGAAAATAAAAATATCATTTTAAAAAAAAATTTCTTTTTAATGCAGCTTCTCCCAGGAGTATCAGGAAATCTTTCTCTTAGTTTAATTTTCTCTGAAAATTATTAAATAAAAAAACCTGAAATTGAGGTTTCAATTTAAAAATAAACTTAATATATGTAAACCCTTCCAAATATTAAAAAAGAAGTTAAAAACTATTAAATTTTTCTTTTTTCAATCCCTGTATGAGGACCTTTTTTATTATTTTTCATTTTATAAATGTAATTGTTAGACATGTAGTTGTTGGCATTCCTTTCATAGAAGTGACAAATTAATATAAAACCTAAAAGGGACTGTAAACGTAATTTCAAGTCTCCATGCAAAGATGGCAATGCCCGATTTACAACGGTACCCTCGAAACCTTTATCTGATCTATTATGTGGGAGGTATTATTATTTTTGTAGAGAAACCACAATATTAAAAATAATCAGTTTTCAAAATTGTAAATTATCAAATTCTTCAAGGATGTACAAATTAATTTAAAAAAGGTTAGTTTTGTATAAAAACAAGAAAAAAAATCTTCCAGCCCACGATTTAAAGCCAGATAGATAAGGAAATTTCCATCATCCTGTATTATTTAAAGGTTTTAAGGATACTTTTGTGCATTTGAATTGCCACTGCATAAATTGAAATCACGTATGCTGTCCCTTTAAGCAACCTAACTTGTTTTTTGTAGTTGTAGAACAAGCTGCATCAGCTGTGATTTCCTACGCGGATAATTTGTTCAAAGATACAATATGGCGCTACTAGGAATCAGACGCGGCAAAGATACAATATGGCGGTTCTAGGAATTAGACGCGGCAAAATCAGATTGTTTTTTGAAAACAAAATTCTCTTGGAAAAGTAAATTGTTGGCACCCTTTTGAAGGTATTGTCAACAATATCATCTGTTTTTGATATCTCAAATTGACAAATATTAGATTTTTATCTAAAAATTCCAAAATTGAATTTGATATATCTTTGAATATGTTATAAAATTAACCCATTGGGTTAGCCTCATTTTTTTTTATGTTTCCCAATTTCTTTGACACAAAGTTGTAAATGGTTTGATCTGTATTTTTATCTACACTTTTTAAAATTTCAAATATAAATAGTAAATACTACTGAGTTTTCCACAAAACAAGACAGTTGATAAATAGTTTTAAATGTCGTCTTCCATATACTGTATTAGATATTAAACACTTTTTGCAGTTTATTTCGTGAAACAAATCTGTTATCAAATATATTCTACTATAATATGACCCTTATATAATACTTTTTATTTTTCTCTTGGTATTAAACAATTTAACAAAATATGGAAGAAGAAAATTTAAACTATTTACCAGCGCCATTTAACTTGTCAATTTTATGATATTTTTTTAGGTTGATATTTTGTTTTTAAGATTTCGTAGATTTTATTAATTATATATATATTTGCGAGAAAAGTTTAACATTCCCAATTAATGTGTATTTAGTTTTAAGTTGAATTTTGTGATATTTTATATTTTTCTAGAATCTCCCGGATATAAGGACAAGGTGTACCCTGTTAAAAAAAAACATATTTTCGAAATTAAGAACATTTTGTTCGACTGATTATCTATTTGTAATCTTTAAAAAAATTGAATGATTTTGAATTCCATATTTTTGAAAAACTAATATTTTTATTTTTAATTTTGAAGTCACCTACGCCCAGAACTTTTAAAAGAAAGAAAAGAGATTAAATTTAACAAATTTTACTCATTTGAGTTTAAATAACCTATCAATAGTTTATCACTTATTGAAAATGCAAATTTGCTGACAAATGTCACCACTCATTTTTTTTTAAATGAGAATTTTTTTGGAAAATTCAAACCCGGTGGAAGATTTAAGATTAATGGCCAAAAAAAATCTTAAAGTGCTGTCAGCATAATTTCATGTGACTTTCCAGGCAAAAAGGACAATCACTGATTCACAACAGTACCCGTAGAGTTTGCCGAAGTACAAATTCGATATCAGTGTTTTTTAATTTTAAAATCTGATTATTTTCAATTGTGGATTCTCTACAAATGTGACTTGCGAATTTCTTTTACAGGAAAACATATAGAATTTATCAGAATAAAAACTTGGAATGCATTCTTCTAAAAAACGACAATTTCTTCCACATTATTGATCCGATAAAGGCTTCATTGGTAATGTTGTGGATTGGGTATTACAATCTTTGCATAAAGGGTTTTTTGAAATTGCGCTTACAGTCCCTTTAAATGTTAAAATATGGCGTTTTTAGCAAATTAAAGAACACCATTCCGAATGCTATTTAACTGTATTATTAATCCTTGAACTTCTTTACATTTTTGTGCACACTCTCTTTAATGAAGATATTATATTTAGTCACCAGATATATTTCAAGATTCGATCTGATAAATATTAACAAAATATTAATATGTTTGTATAATTAGAATTTATGACCCTGTAGAGCTATATTATAATTAAATATACATTATAACTTGAACATTTATTTCTCAGAGTCTGAAGATTATACAGAGCTGAAAACTTTCGAATGAGATAGCCTTAATCCCGATTACTTAATCTGAGTATCCAATGAACACACTTTTGATTTTATTCTTGGTTTTCTTGGATACAGTAGAGAAAAATCAAAAACCGGTTTTTTAAGATTAGAGAGTCACTTCCGTTTCTGTATAGTTTTTCTTAAATGGCTCGCAAAATTTTAATTTATCGGTTTATATGCGACTCTGATTGGTTGAATTTTATACACTTTTCAGGATACAAGTACAGGATTAGGTTAGTCTCGATATTGAGTAAAAAAGAGGATCAAGCATTAATCTCGATATCCACCATTCTAAAGTTTTTAGCTCTGTATTCTCAAAAATGTTAATAAAGGTTCAGTGCAATGGTTGAAAAAATTGATTTCATCAAAAGCAGGTTTTGCAGTTAAAGTTCACACTGAGAATGCAGTATCATATAGATCATTTTAGAATTCATTTTACACTTAATTCTTATTGTTAAAAACAGGTAGTTTTGTCAGATCTCTGTTTTTAATGTTTGATTTCGGAACGTTTCTTAGGGATTCCTTGAATTGCATTGCAAAGACGATATCTGAAGAGATGTCTGAACAAAAAAAAGAAATAATTCAAGTTAATGATGATATACAACAAATTAATTTGCAGAATACTAAAATTGATTTTTTTAAATTTGTGATTAATTAACAACTTAAAATTATTGGCCTGAGCTTTCCAAAAGCATATTTTTAAAAACTGGTCCCAGGATGTTCCACCAAACACGACAGTTAGTAAATAGTTTAAAATGTCTTCTTCCATAATTAGTTTAGTTGTTTGATAGCAAAGAGAATAATAAAAAATATCATGTGGGAGTCATCTTACAGTAAAATTGATTTCAAAGTAAAATATATTTAAGTAAAAGATTTTTTAAACAAAATAAACAAGAAAAAGTCTTCAATATCTAGTACAGTATATGGAAGAAGACATTCTAAACTATTCACCAACTGTCATGTTTCGTTGGACACCCTGTATGTAAACTATTACAACATTCTAATTGGGATTGTGTTTCGATTTTTCTAACTTTTGTAGTAAACATATTTTGTAGGGTTGAGGATGGAACGCCACTCCTCCCTCGTGCAATATGATATTATCATAACAATATTTAATAAAATGAATTATTTGTTTAATAAAAAACTTTTATTGAGATTTTATTTGACATACAAAATACACATTTAAAAAAAAATATGTATAATTCACCTTTTTCTATCTATTTAGATCAGGAATTTTTAGTCAAAATTTTTTATGGTTTTTTCTGTTATTTTACGTAAAAATGATTTTTTTCGGTTTAGCTTTGTATTTATCATTTCTTTATTAAAAGGGAAATAGGGTTTATTTCGTTTTGTTATACTTATTTTTATCAGAAGGGTGGAAGAGAGTTCTATCAATAATTCAATTCGAGGGGCTTACAACGATACCTTGGCAACCTTATTTTGATCAAAATTAGGGCAAGAATTTGTGGATTTTCCGACTTGTAAAATTGTTTAATTAATATATGTTTTTTTAGGGAATAAAATAGTAAAATATTGGACTTTTTTCTTTATTTTAGTGTCCTTATTGACAATGATAGCTTATGACATCGCTCCCAGTGGTAGTGGCATTGATAGTTTACGGGATTGTGTGGATCATG